TCGTTTTTGCTTTGAGAAAGTCCACATTGGTCGAAACGTGTCAGCAACGATTACAGTTTCCCTATTGTCATATATATATATATATATATATATATATATATATATATATATATATATATATATATATATATATATATATATATATATATATATATATATATATATATATATATATATAAAATCCTTCGGCACGTTTATGGACAGGTAAAGCTGGACAACAGAAGATGCTGGCTCACGGAAATCACCCCTAAAAAAGTATGTAAACATAATTTTGCCTCTCATCATATACATTACAATGTAGAACAGGAAATAAATGTATTATTGATACTTCCAGAGAAAGTTTCTCATGTTTTTCATGCAATACACATACTAAAAAAGCCTCAAACAAAAACGTTCTATATACTTTATATATCCTGCTTGGGTAAATATCCAGCTATATATAAGAAATGAGTAAGACCGTATCACCAAAACACTCTCTTTCTCTCGGTTCCTGCAGAAATTTGCGAAGAACATATGGCGCTGCCATTGTAGCTGCTCAGTGAGAGACAGTTATGTGCTATGCGTGATATATGCATAGGCAATCGTGTATCTTTCGAGGCAGATTTTTTTCTTTTAACCGCCGTAGGTTGCCATTTCTTTCTGTGAGGTGTACCAGTTGTCATCCAAGACTTATACAACCCGGTCTGTCCTACTAACAGACCATAGCTGGACGGGGAGCAGAAGACGAGGATTCATACCTTTCCCAAGAGTATAAGCACGTAAGTGAATGTAATGGATTCGACTGGAATTTGAACTTGGCTCTCCGATTCATCAATCCGAGCCGTTATCCACCGTACCTCCTGCTAAACCAAACCAACTATTAAGATAAATATGCTTATTTATTAGCACGTAAGTGAATGTAATGGATTCGATTGGAATTCGAACTTGGCTCTCCGATTCCTCCATATCCTCAATCTAGTCTTATAAAACATATGCTGGACCATGGAAGTAGTGTATTAAAAATGTCGTATTCTAACGTTTCAGGTAATACTTGGTATGTCCTCTCATGTTCTAACCTTTCAAATATCAAATCAGAAAAAAAAAGAAACTTCTAGTTTTAATGAATTCTATAGGTTTCATATATGTTTCGTTGAAGTGTTGAGTTTCTTCCTCATCAAAATTAGCATCTAAATCTCATTTGTCAGTGGCTGATAAGTGCACTATGAAATCACGTAGGAATCATGTTATGCACCAAATAATTCCAGGAATGACCGCTGAAAATCCACACTCTCCCAATTTATAGACAAATCCTACAGACATATACTTGGAATTAATTAATCAAGATTCCTTTTCTTTATTCTCTATAATTACCACTCGGGAAGGACAGTGACATCTGTTCTCTTCATCTTGTCTAAAGATTTTTTTTTTAAATTCAGAATTATCCATTTCTTTAGTAGCTGCCTCGCTATCTCATATCTTTGTTATGAAGGAAGAACTTGCCTAAAGGTATTATTTCAGGAACTCTCCAGACTAGTCAGGAATTTATCTTGTTTTTCTAATTCTATTGATGACAGTCACAATTCCAATATATATTGAATTTTCATCATTGTATCATTTATAATTGGCTAATATATTTAAATACTGAAATGCCATTATTAGAGAAAAAAAGTAATTGTTTTCATTAGACAAGAAATTAGCAGAGCCTAGGATGACTCCATTGCCAAGCACTAGGAGTCCTCATCTATTTCGATAATATTGGCATGGATATTAAAGATATACTGTATTGGCAACTGTCAGTTTTCTATAAAAATGACATTTCCAAACCTGCACTCAGGAGGAGACATTCGACCAATACATCGATTGTATTCGATTGCTAAAACAGAGTCTATGATTTAACTATAAACTGAATTTGAAAAAAAAATCTTCTGATAATGGCACATGGTCTCTAGATACCGAGAGATGTCATAAAAATTCATCGTCGTGGGCATGACGATAAGCTACGTCCGACAGCAAGGTCCTCTGAACAGGAGGTTTTGAAAAGCGTGGGGCCACATCTTAATTGCTGGTGTTCCCAGGTCCACCCTGACTCAGGGTGGTAGCAATTGTTAGGGTCCCAACTATGGGCAAACTGCGGTCAAAACACTAGAAAAGTGTAAAAATAGGTTTTTGGAAAAAAGATATTAGCAGCTATACATTTTTAGAAAAAAATTATTAGCAGCAATAAAACTTTTCTCGGCATTGAGCTTGATATGCCGTAAAACAAACCAAACCATAAAATACAAATAATTATTTTCGAATATAAGTTCATTTTTACACAGCATTTTTAGGTAGGGAATATTAAAAAGAATCAACATTATACAGTGAAAGTTTTCGATCAAATTTCAGTTAATAAATCAAATTGTTTATATATATATATATATATATATATATATATATATATATATATATATATATATGAAAAAATATAGTTTTAAGATATGCTATATTTTATGAGATTAAGTGCTTGTTATCAGAGACAGTGCGTATGTAAATATAAAAGTGGCCATTGAAGTCAACAGTCAGGGACGACAGGATGTTGCTTCTAGTATGAAACAATCTGTCGCCTCTGAGTGATTTCAATGTTCATATATATATATATATATATATATATATATATATATATATATATATATATATATATAATGTTATTGGTTACTCTTCTATTATCCTCGCTCCTCAAAAACCTTTCTCTATTCCTTATCCTCAGTAAACCCTTGTGTTTTATTAGCTTTCCTGCCTTGACTGAATTAAAATCATTTAAATTATATATGTGTATGTGTAGTGTTAATTACTACCAAACCATGATGTATATTTTTCATTACACTTTGCTTAGCATCTCTACTTCCCTTTCTTCCGTCTTTGGTTCATTTCTTCTTCCCTTCTTCACACTATCTCTTTCCAAGTCTTTCTTTCTTTCTTTGTTTTTTTTTTTCGTTCCTTTAAATATCCCATCCTTTCTACATTCTTTCCTTTGTTATTCAGTACTTCCATTTATTCAGTACTTACAGTGTCGAAACTAGTGTTTTGAGGTCCGGGCGGCCCTCAAATTTGCCGACCCTCTCCAGAAGGAATACAATTCATTAACCCTTCAAAGTTCATATATATATATATATATATATATATATATATATATATATATATATATATATATATATATATATATATATATATGAAGAAATATAGTTTTAAGGTGTGCTATATTTATGGGATAAATTGCTCAAGATCTGAGATAGAACGTATGTAAATATAAAATGAACATTGAAGTTAACACCCAGTCTCTCTCTCTCTCTCTCTCTCTGTGTGTGTGTGTGTGTGTGTGTGAGTATCTATATATAAGAGTATGTATATAAGTTTGTGACTCTGTGTTTCAAACTTTTGCGATCATCAGACAAACTCGCTTATTCTTTTAACATTTTAATCAATTTATGCTTGTTCGACTATGTTTGTTTGGTGGGAGGGGGAATCTGCTTCTGTGCTTGTTAGGGGTGGTCCTATTATACGAATAGATACACGCATATAGGTGTACGCATTTTAGTCCACATCTTTGTTTCATTTCTTCTTCCCTTCTTCACACTATCTCTTTCCAATTCGTTCTTTGCTTTACTTTTTTCTTTCCTTTAAATATCCCATCCTTTCTACATTATGTCCTCCTTTATTCGGTACTCCCAGTGTCGTAGCTAGTGTTTTTGTCGTCCGGGGCGGCCATCAAATTTGCTGCCCCTCCCCAAAAGGAATACAATAGGCCGTCGAGATATTTTTTTAAATTTTTTTAGGGTGGTGGAGGGTATCTGTGCTTACGGCTATGTTGTTCATGGGGTGGTTGATTTTAGAACTCTCTTCCAGCTCCATGTTTTCCAGTCAACTTTGATCTTCAAAAATGTAATTGCAACTTCAGTTGTTGTCTACTGTCTTCCTGATGACTCTTCTATTGTTCTCGCTCTTTCGTAATGTTTCTCTTTTTCTTATTATATAACACTCAGAAATCCCTAAAGTCTTAGTGGCTTTACTGCCTTGATGGTGAAATCATTAATAACAAATGTGTTTGTGCTGTTAATTACTAACACACCATTTTGTAATATTTTTCCTTCCCCTAACTCTTTGTTTAGCATCCCTATATTCCTTTCTTTCGTCTCATCAATTTACAGTTAAATTGACTAGATGTAACTGTAAGTTTCATGCTAACAGATTATTTTGTCGCAATTCTTGCCTGTAAAACTCACTTCCGGTTCCATGTTTTCCAGCCAACTTTTATCTTCAAAAATTTAAATTCAATGTCAATCGTTATCAACTGTCTTATTAATTACTTTTCTATTGTTTTCGCTTCTAAATAATGTTTCTCTTTTTAAATAAAAGGCTTTTACTTATTTTTTCACAGTCATTAAGACTTTGTTTCTTAGTGGCTCTATTGCTTTGCATGGATTAATATGATGACAAAAATATTATAACAAAAAACTAAATATGCATCAAGTTCATAAATAAAGTACATAAAAACCCCAGCTGTGAAAATATGAGGCGATTAATTTCGTTTTCCGGTTATTGTTTCGTTTTCCGTTTTGTATAATGTTTTCGTTTTCCGTTTTGTATAATATATATTTCCAAGAATAATTAGTTGTGTTTTTTGGCCATTCAAGTTAGGGAAGATTATAATTGTTCTTCATGTTTTGTTTGTTCCTATTTTTTTTTTCCTTAGTGGGGTGGGGTCCTCTCTTTTGTCTGATTCTGTTTGTTAATGTATAGTTGTGTCATTATATGACCATCGTCTTGCGTAAACAAGGGAATGAGTTATTCCTTTAGGCATTTGAATGTGGCAGGAAATATTTGTTTCGTTTAATTCTTTTGCTTTTGGCGTTGCGTGAAAAACATCGTTCCACTTACCCTGCGTTTAACTTTCATTCTTACTATTTTTTCTGTCATTCCTGCTTTCTTATATACATTCATAGGCACAAACACACAGCGAGATATATGCAAAAAAAGTTACACGCCTATGAACATACGGGGGATAGATAGATAGATAGATAGATAGATAGATAGATAGATAGATAGATAGATAGATTAATATCAACAGAATTACACATAGATAAATAAACATTATCTCTGGATTAATGCACACTCGATTAATGCGATTTCGAATAGTGCGCTAATTTTTTTTATACCAAAATTCGATTAGTGCATAGATGATACTCAATGTTTGCGGTAAAACATACTTCAGTTTAACCATAGTAATTGTAATGGTAATTTACCATAGTAATTAACCATAGTAATTGTAATGGTAATTTACCATAGTAATTAACCATAGTAATTGTAATGGTAATTTACCATAGTAATTAACCATAGTAATTGTAATACTTTTACCATATTTTTAGTAATTGGGAAGTTTCCATAGTATGTGTCTATAATTTTTACCATGAGATTAACCATTAATTATAATGGTATTTACCATATTATTCCATACTAATTGTAATCAGTATTTGTCGCCATGGATTTATTATAAAACGTTTACTTTTATTTTTAGTATCTTTCCAGTCTATATTTCTGAGATGAGGTATTATTATACACTATTTACATTATTCTGACTATTGTCCTCATATTTGTCGCCATATTTATTACAACGTTTCGGCCTTTCAGTATCTGTCTATATTTCTGAGATGAGGTATTATGTACACTATTTACATTATTCTGACTATTGTCCTCATCTTTGTTGCCATATTTATTACAATGTTTCGGCCTTTCAGTATCTGTCTATATTTTTGAGATGAGGTATTATGTACACTATTTACATTATTCGGACTATTGTCCTCAGCTTTGTTGCCATGTTTATTACAACGTTTCGGCCTTTCAGTACCTGTCTATATTTCTGAGATGAGTCATTATGTACACTATTTACATTATTCGGACTATTTTCCTCATCTTTGTCGCCATATATATTACAACGTTTCGGCCTTTCAGTATCTGTCTATATTTCTGAGATGAGGTATAATTATACACTATTTACATTATTCTGACCGTTGTTTTCAGCTTTGTTGCCATATTTATTACAACGTTTCGGCCTTTCAGTATCTGTCTATATTTCTGAGATGAAGCATTATGTACAATATTTACATGATTCGAACTATTGTCTTCATCTTTGTCGCCATATTCATTTCAGCGTTTCGGCCGTTTTACGCTCTAGCCTTCTTCAGGTGGTTGGAATATCGAACTGAGCGCTTTATTTCGCTCATGGTGTAGACTGTTCTTGTTCCACGTGCCAAGTCTAAAAATTTGAAATGGAAAATACGAAACTATTTTGTTTGTCAAGTATTACGTTATCTAAGAAAATGGACGGCTATAAATAGATCAATTTTATAATATAAGCTGATAATAAGAATACATATTTGAATATTTGTTTCTATTCAGATTTTTTGATTATTTTGATATTTTTTCATGTTTATTTTCAAGGTCTTAAAAAGAAATTTCTGATTTTCGCTAAAAAAAATGAACGATTTAATTAGATAAATAAATTTACATTTATTAAAACATAACTATATATGGAAGATCTATGCATTTACTATGGAAAGATTATAAAATTTTCAGTTTAATATAATAACGATTATGAAACTTTTGGAAAATCTTAAGAGGGAATTTCTCAGTAGCGCCAATTATTTGAAGAACAGAAGAATACCATTCGGCAAAACATTTTAAATAATTTTTTCATGAAAAGTTCCATTAATAAACATTAATTTATAGTATTTTTTGTATCATCTCACATGTAACTATATTTTAATTAAAAAAAATAGGTAAATTATAAATTAATTGTGAATAACACTAAAATTGGGAATACAAATTATATCATTTCCAATAAGTTAATATATTTGATTAATGCTTTTTCGATTAGTGCGTATTTTTTTAATGCTTTTTCGATTAGTGCGTATTTTTTTAATGCTTTTTCGATTAGTGCGTATTTTTTTAATGCTTTTCGATTATCGTATTTTTTAATGGAACGTATTTTTTTAATGGATTTTCGATTAGTGCGTATTTTTTTAATGAACATATTAGCGGCACTAATCGAGGAACATAGGGATACGTGCGCCGTAATAGAAGATAGATAGATAGATAGAGAGAGAGAGAGAGAGAGAGAGAGAGATAGAATTTAACATATTTTGTTAGAGAAATGAATGCACTAAGATAGATAAATGGATAATTGCGTACAGACAGAATCAGATATTTACAGCAGTGGATGGATGGATAGATAGATAGATAGATAGATAGATAGATAGATAGATAGATAGATAGATAGATAGAATCAGAGCAATCATAGATAGATAGATAGATAGATAGATAGATAGATAGATAGATAGAATCAGAGCAATCATAGATAGATAGATAGATAGATAGATAGATAGATAGATAGATAGATAGATAGATGATCAGAGCAATCATGCAATCATAGATAGATGAATAGATGAATCAGAGATCATAGATAGATAGATGAATGATGATAGATAGATAGATAGATGAATGGGAATCAGAGCAATCATAGATAGATAGATAGATAGATAGATAGATAGATAGATGAATGATGAGATATAGATGAATCATGGATAGATCAATCATAGATAGATGAGATAGATAGATAGATAGATAGATAGATAGATAGATGATAGATAGATGGATAATGAATGGATAGAATCAGGCAATCACACATACAGGATCAATCATAGATAGATGGATCATAGATAGATAGATGGATAGACACACATGGACACACACACATATATATATATATATATATATATATATATATATATATATATGGATAGATGATAGATGGATAGATAGAATCAGAGCAATCATAGATAATAGAAATATAGATTAGATAGATAGACACACACATATAGATATTAGATAGTTCATAGATAATCATAGATAATAAATAGATGTGTGATTGATAGATATGAAGAGTGTGATTGATATATATATATATATATATATATATATATATATATAACAAAATATATATATTTGATATATATATATATATATATATATATATATATATATATATATATATATATATATATATATATATATATATATATATATATATATATATCGTGATAAGTAGGTGTGCCTTACTGTAACATCAGCCTGAAAATCGAAAAATCATAAAGCGTATAGATTTCGGTTCTTGTCTTATACTTATTCTCCTCACGTTATTCTTCTTCTTTGTCGTTTCAGAACGTTGCTGATCATGGTTCTCCACAGTTTCCTCTCCCTTGTAGCTCTTAATAAATTTTGTCTTTTTTGCCATAACCTGCTCCGCTATCCATTTTGCTCAAACTCTCCAGGTCGGTTATGCGTTTCTTTCATCTTTATCTCTTAACTTCAATCTGTGCCGTGGGTATCAAATTTTCCACCCCCTCTTTCTCATTATATACCCAAGAAACCCCAACTGCCTCTCCCCGATCTGGTATTTCCAGTATCCTCCTATCGATGCACCGTTCTGTTGCTTCAAGTCTCTCCATTATCTGTGAGGACATTGCCCAGCATTCATTGCCATATAGGAGGACTGAGATTACACAAGACAGAAAAACTTATAACAGTCATTCGACATTCAATTGTCTTGCCAGTATAATGATGTGGCGATCCTGCAGGCATCACATAAATATGTTCCACTTCCACAACAAACTATTTTCAAATTTTCAATCTTAAAAAATGAATGATTACATAAGAAATAAAGAAACAAAAAAGAAAGAAATAAAGAAACAAAAAAAGAAAAAAAGAAACAAAAAAGAAAGAAAGAAATAAGAAAGAAAGAAAAAAAAAACATAAAAGAAGGAATCAAACAAACAAACAAAAAGAAAGCAAGAAAGAAAAAAAAAGAAATCAATTATGGAGAACAGTCGATAAAATAATGAGAGGAAATTTACGGAGAAGAAAGAAAGAAAGAAAGAAAGAAAGAAAGAAAGAAAGAAAGAAAGAACGAACGAACGATCGAACGAATTGCCGGAGTATTAAGAAAGAAAGAAAGAAAGAAAGAAAGAAAGAAAGAAAGAACTGTCGGAGTATTAAGAAATCAAAGTGAAGAAAGAAAGAAAGAAAGAAAGAAAGAAAGAACGAACGAACGAACGAACGAACGAACGAACGAACGAATTGCCGGAGTATTAAGAAATCACAGAAAGAAAGAAAGAAAGAAAGAAAGAAAGAAAGAAAGAAAGAACTGTCGGAGTATTAAGAAATCAAAGTGAAGAAAGAAAGAAAGAACGAACTGCCGGGGTATAAAGAAATCAGACAAAGTAAAGAAAGAAAGAAAGGATGAAAGAAAGAATGAAAGAAAGAATGTTAAATCGCAAAATATTTCTGCATTTAAAAAATTAAGTGCATTCAGTTTTTTATCCTTTCATCGTTTCCTGTGTCGCTTGTTTGGTTGTTGTGCAGCCCGTGTTGTGCAGTCTATTTTATGCTGACAGTGTTGTGTATCCTATGTTGTGTACCCTGTGTTGTGTACCCTGTGTTGTGTACCCTGTACCTGTGTTATACAAGCCCGTGTTACGCAGTTCGTGTTGTGTATTATTTGTTTAATTAAGGAAGATAGAGTAATTGAATGAAACGTAATGATAAACTGTCGATCTCGATTTTACTGTTGTTTACAACTGAATTCTTCTTACCGATAATATCGTATGAAAGTCTATTCTTGATTAATCAGGAATTAGATTTGGGAAATGGGTGCAAAATTATAATTAATGAAGATCAAGGAGGGAAAGAAAGAAAAGAAAAGAAAGAAAGGGAGATTAAAGGAAAGAAACTGATGAATTGAGAAAAAGGAAAATGGAGCTGGTAAATAAAGGAAGGGAGCACTGTTGAAGAAGCGGCCATTTTGTAAGTGGAATTGATAAAATTCTCAATAACAACAAATATGGAAAGAAGAACATAGGCAAATAATATAAGAAATGAACGATGTCATCTAAGGAAAGATAACTAGAAGACAATAGCAAAGGAAAACAATTATGAGAAAATAAAAAAGTACGATTTTGTTAATCTTCATTTCAATGACATTATTTCCACTCGTCGTAGTTGAAATATTATTTATAGAATTTTTATTATTGTTCATTTTTGAGAGGTCTTTCTTTCATCTTAATTTCATTTACTTTATTTCTATTAGTAGTATTAGTAGTAGTAATATTATGTAAGATTTTCATTGGATGAAACATTGTCAACCATTATTCATTTTTGAGTAGTATTTCTTTCATCTTAATTTCAATTGCTTTAATTTTACTAGTAGTATTATTAGTAGTAATATTATTTGGAATTTTTATTAAAAGAAGCATTGTCAACCATTATTCATTTTTGACTAGTATTTCTTACATCTTAATTTCAATTGCTTTAATGCTACTTACAGTATTATTAGTAGTAATATTATTTAAAATTTTTATTAGAAGTGGCATTGTCAACCATTATTTATGCTTGACTAGTATTTCTTTCATCTTAATTTTATTTGCTTTATTTCTACTAGTAGTATTAGCAGTAGTAATATTATCTGGAATTTTTATTAGATGAAACATTGTCAACCATTATTCATTTTTGAGTAGTATTTCTGTTAGTTAATATCATTTGCTTCCTTTCCACTAGTAGAATTAGTATTTTGGTGCCTTCAAACCAGATATGTGGGTGTAACTTGTCAGTTGCTAGGCTGTGCAGCGACCCTACATCCACGTCCAATCATGGGTACTAATGATTGTTGATTGATTGATTTTCTCCGGCTTATCAACCCTTTGCAGTTTATTTAAAGCCAGAAAATATGTTTGCATTTTTCTAAAGATAATAATAGTTTAGAGATGCAAGTCTTAATAATTACCCCATAGCTGAGAGGGGAAGTGTTGGTTCATGCCTTCAGCAAGGATATTTACGCGTAAGTGAATATAAAGAAACCAAAGAGAATTGGAACTCGGCTCCTCGTTTAACAATTCTGAGCCATTATCAATTACAACAGCGGCATATCAAACCTGATACTCCTACGCAGTTACCCATCTATTTACAGACCAGGCTCTACGTTGCTTAACTTTGAAGATCATACGGAAATCTTTGTTTCAACGTGATGTGGCCGGATGCCAATAAAGATGATGTTAATTATAATTTCTATAATTCGCCTAGTAGGACAAAAGGCCATTGAAACGGGGGCTCAAAACAGTATTGATTTTTTGTTATCTTAGTTTAGTAAACGATATTAATTTTAGAGATGTTCAGGTGTCTGTTAAAAATAGTCTGGTACAAGGCAACCGAGCAGAGAAAAATCAAGTTCAAGATCGAGCTTAGCCTGCTTCATTCTGTTTTGCATACACGCATGCGCGTGAGCACACACACACAGAGACACACAAAATGAAATATAAATAAATAACAAGAACGCCAAAAACGTAAAATCATTAGCATGTCCCGAGTTGGAACAGCTCGCCACAAAACAGCAACTGTCGAAACATAAATAAAAAGGAGAATTTATCACGACACCTTACACTTACACACAGGCGCGCAGACGGGCGCACGCGCGCGAACGCATATCCGCAGAGACGGACACGTACAAATGCGCGCGTACAAATGCCGGCATCAGTACAAACATACATGAAAATACTTACTACTAACACAAATATTAGATATATAAATCGGAAGAAAATCGAAAAAAATAAAAGAAATAAATTACTGATATTCTTAAAGAACGGACGGGCATCTCCTCCTATGAATCTCCGTAGTCGGGATGCTGAAGATAACCTCAATCAACTAAGTGACAAACATTTACTCATATTAATCATGTATATGTAGTCATCCACAGATAGACTGTTTCGCAGTATCACAGCTCCTCAGTGCAGCTATATATATATATATATATATATATATATATATATATATATATATATATGTATATGTATATATATATATATATATATATATATATATATATATATATATATTGCTATATGACCTGAAGATTGTATGCACGAAACATACTGTTGCCACTAGGCGTCTACTCTTACATTCATAAACGACCCATCTCAGATATTGAGCAGTTTTACATAAAATAGCATACGGTAAAACTATATTTTTTCGTATATATATATATATATATATATATATATATATATATATATATATATATATATATATATATATATATATATATATATGTATGTATATATATATATGGTGGTGCGTGTATATGTATGTATATATATATATATATATAACAGCGAAAAAAACAAAAAAATAGCTCAACATAGAAGATTCTCTGTTTCAATCAGTTTTGTACGCGGCTATGATCAGCCTCTAAGTCTTAGGGGTTGATGATAGCCACGTACAGAACGGTTTGAAATGGACTATCTTCTATGTTGAGGTAATTTTTGGCTTTCTGCTGTAAAAAATACATACGTTCTATAGAAATAAAATCATTGAGCTCTCTGTAGATCAGTTTTAATAACTAATATTACTATGATACACCCGGCTTATATACCAACGGTTCGATTACCTGTACTATATATATATATGTAATTATTTATTTAAAAATATGATTCCAACACGTTACATAAGAGTTCTCATGTTTCAAAACAAGAGCCGAAAACTTCAATATAATTATTTGAATTAAATTGAATTAAAGGACAAAGCTCTGTTCCATCTTCAAGCGAAATTTTTTTTTGAATAATTATTTATTTGTACGTTTGTACAAAATGTGGCACAAGGCCAAATAATTCCATTTGTTTGTTTGTGGAATGATTTTCAGAGAAATTCCGAAATTTACTTTTTCCATATTTTTAAAGAAGTTATTTTAAAAATAAAGGTTCTGAGTGCTCGACCTTAATTTGTCACCATCATATATTTTACAACAATAAAAGATAGCACGAAGTAGAATATGATCAAGAATTTTCTTTCTGTGTTGGGAAAACGTAAATATGCATGAGCAAGTCTCTGCCAAAAGAAATGGGTAAATTATATTTTTTAAAAAATGAAATTCGTTTGGTTTGTTCGACCCCAGCCGCCATATTTACCTGTCCCTGCACCAATCAATTATTACATTTTTCGATACAAAATGCTTTGACGTAGAATTATTTCTCTAATGAAAACAGGATTCAAGATTCATGCAAAAAGATTTTCACGCCAAAACTTACGGAAAAATATCGTGAAAACACCTGATAACTGACAACAGCTCATTGCAAATAACAAGTAATGTATAATTGAATAAAATGTAATTGTACTTTACATTTTGAAAAATGAACTCGAAAAAAATGGAAGTTATTCATGACATAATGAGATAATTTGTAATTCAATAACTATTAATATTTGTCTAAAACAAAATGAGAAATTACATTTTAATAATGCAGACATTAACTTAACTTTTGAATGTTTGTCAGCAAAATGAAGAGCCCAACATGCAAATTACAATTTGGAGATACCAAAATCAAGTGGAGTAATTGGTAGCGGCTCGGATTGAGAGATCGGAGAGCCGAGATCGAACTCCAGTGGAATCTATTACATTCACTTACATGCTAAGGTATGAACCCTCTTCTTCTCCCCCCACCCTGCCGTCAGCTATGGGTATATAGCAGGAAAGACCAGGTTTTATAGCTTTGGGTGGCACCTGACTTGGAGACGGACAACACTGCATTCAATATCTGATCCTCCACATTACGGCATGTGTAGTAGGCTAACAACCTGGCTTGTTATAGAAACCATAACGGTATCTTGCAGCTATACGTTCTTCAATGAATTTGAAGGCATCGTATATATTTAAAAAACATAATTTTGTTTATATTTTAATATGTTTTTGTTTGTATTTAAAAAATATAAACAAAAAAAAATGATCACGACACCCTACACGTATACACATCCGCGAAGACGGGCGCACGCGCACGAAAGCATATCCGCAGAGACAGGCGCATGGCTGCACTGGCGCAAACGTTGACATAAAATGCGACACGGAAATCGGAATACGCATTGGGATAGCTAAAGTTTCTTTAGAAACGAAGAAACGTGTTCTTAATTGTGTGACGTCACCCCGGCATTTCCGCGCCCGTGCTATCCTGTGACGACTAATGTGACTTGGTATTGGTCGCGGAACCAAATGTGACGTTTTAACCCTTGGCTGATTCGGATGGGAATCTCGTTAGATTCGGTATCAGCTTTATCGTTCCCAGCTCGCCTCCAACGTCTGGTTATCGAAGTAACTGTTTTGATTTCTAGTCTAACCTACCCACGTTGTGATTTGATCTTAGGTAGACGAAATCAATCAGTCGCCGGGCCGCAATGCAAGCAGAGTCCGAGCAAAGGTAACACCATAGAAGTATATGTAAAAGAAAATAAAGTAACAACTCGAAAAGTTCAAATGTGTTAAAAAAAGAATATCAAATATTTCTATATCTGGTTTCTGAATACAGGACTGCGTCTTTCTCCCAAACCGCTTTTATGGATTCGTGACATTTTGTGTTTTTTAGGCAAGTCTTAATATTTTAAGTTGTTTTTCGATAACTGGTTTCTTTTGGATCTTCAGGTGACATTCGTAAAACTTGTTTTGGTGGTGTGAGTCTAAGTCGTTCTTCAAAAATAAATTGTTCTTGGTTACAAGTCGAAGACGGGATGCGTGGATCTTCAGTCAGCTTCCTGCGAGGCTGGTCTCAGAGCTCACAGCTCAACTCTGTCTGCGTCTGCGTCACTCCAACTCCAACTGCCGTCTACTCGCTGCGACTCTGTTTATATGGACGCCGACCAAAACCGGGTGTGGGGTTATCGTGGTTTGTGGTTCCTCGATAATTCTAAATCCACAATAAGGATTTTCTTTGTTTTCGGACAGGAAAATTTATCACTTTCCATTTTTGGTAGTCCATTGCTTTTTTTGCTTCAGAGGGGTTCTTAAAGGTATTGTCCTCCCAAATTCTTCCTTTCTCATATTGGTATCTCACACCGATCCCCTCAGAGGGCGTCAACATGTTTCTCCTCCTTCTCATATGTTTACCTTCGCCTACCGCTCACGCCAACACTCAGCCAATGAACGCTTAGCAGCGTGGGTGTTTACAATTATCGCTCAAAGGAAAAAAAATATCTTCCTTTTTTCTTTTCTTTCTCTTCCCGACACCAGACCTCTACGACGCGTAGTGTGACATTCGGTTAAGATAGAGATTAACTCTATCTTAACCGAATATCACCTGGACTTTATCAATGAGATTTTCGCCAGCTTCGAGTGGGTGGTTAACTGGACGTATTCGCATTCTGTCGGTAATTATCTCTCCCGGTAACAAACTCTTTTCATGGCCAGGTCTAACATAAAACAGGTGTTTTCCACAAAACCAAATGATATCTCTGAAAGATAGATAATGGTTTATTCTTCCCTTTTTATTGGGTGTCCCAGCTGATGTTTTTCTCGGTCAGTACGTGACCTGATTAACATTATCTCCCAGCTTCTGTTTCGTAGGCCACTTGACCAAATTGAAATTTCCATTATTGCCATGGGGAGTTGGCTATCTTTTATTCGCCGCCTCGTAGCATAAATTAATTCGACAGATCCGAGATCTTATGAATTTCCTTCTTCCGCCGAAAAAAATACTTTCCTTCGCAAATGAAAATAAAATCTTTACCACTTTTCTTTGTTAAAAAAAATAAAATCGCTCAGTATATCTTTTCGTGATAGCTCCGTATCGCCTTAATTATTTCAGCTTCTTCTCGCCTTAATTATTTCTCGCTTTTAATTTTCACGCGACCGCTAAATAGTGTCACAATTGTTATGTAACGTCACTCTTACTCTATGGTAATGAATGCTGGTCAATCTCCTCTCAGATGAAGAAGCGATCTGAGGCAACAGAAATATGTTTCTACAGAAGAATGCTGAGAATACAATGGATCTAACATGCAAAGAATGAGTAAGTTCTAAGAAAAGGGAACTAAACGGCAGTTATCCTTAGACTAGTTAAAATTTCTAGGACAGATCATCAAGAAAGAAGGTTTGGAAAATTTGACGTTTACAGGGTACATTGAAGGTAAGAGGAACAGAATAAGTTAGTACATAACGTATCTAAACAGTATTGTAAATGGTTGGAAGAATGGAAATAAGATAAAGATATAAAAAAATGTCAATTTACTAATGTATGAAAAGACTGGAAATTGTAGAGAGCTATGATCGCCCACGCTCTGAATAAAAATTGCGCATAGATGAAGAATAATGTGAGGAAGTCTGCAAATAAAGACTTGATGAATGTAAACCAGGGAAAAAATAATGGCGGACGAAAATACTAAATGCATCGAATACGGAGAACGAATGATAAAGGAGATCCATTCATTCATGACAATAACTTTTTATAAATATATATTACATTCATTAATTATATTATTTCTTTTCCTATACAAAAGACATATTGCCTGGGAGAATTGCAACTCTGCTTGCATATCTTAGTACGTACTCAATTAATTTTGAAGCAAAAACAGAAGCATGAAAATCAATGTCCGACAAACGGCTAATAATATTTTAGCAAAATCACTGTTATGTGTTTTTATTAATAAGATTTGTATCTGCAGTCGATGATATCACAAACTATTAGTTTAAATAATAAATTACTTCCGGTTTTTCATTATCACATATTTCTGCCAGATCGTAGTCTAAAGTTGCCAACGCAGAAAAAATAAACCTAAATGATTTTTGATGAACGATAATATTTTTGCAACACGTTGACTCTTGTTGAAATTCTCATAGTATTTAATATAGTTGAAGTTATCGCTAACATTTTTGTCGAGAAACTCTAAGTTTCGTTAAATTTCACAAACCAATCGATGCAATTTGAATAAGCTGATTTGTTTGGAAAATACCTTGTCAAAAAACCTACTTCACGGTTTAATAATTTCTTTAATTTAATTTAATTTTATAGAAATTTATGCTTTTAAGAAAATGTATTTATTTTTTAACCCTTTTTAACAGCGGAGAATATATTCTTATGATTTCTTACTCTTGAGCAAGCAACATAGACCTGGCCATCCGTAAATATTTCTTTATAGAGCCAAATTCCAAAGTTGTGAAGAGTTTAGCCTTGTGATTTGTCTATAGTTATCGCAAACGCAGGGCGAAAGGAAAACAGGATTCTTGTATATATATAAAAAATAAAAAAATGTTGCATTATTATTTAATATGTATTTGTTATTTTCATCATGATATGGTTTTATAATAGCGGGAAAATATTGTCTGTTAAATAATAAATTATTAATTTCTCCCTCAAAAATAAATGAAAATTTATTGTACTAAAATGCACATCCTAGTAAAACCAACTGTATTTATATCGCCTTACATGTTTGCAATTCTCAATTTGGTTTCAATCGGTTAATGAATTGCTATTTGAGAGGAAAGGTGTGACGGACGGCCAAACTAACGAAGGTCACTGAATTATATACATATATAAGACATTAAGACATTTTTTTATGTTTATACGTTCTTTTAATATGTACAAATATTTAAGTAAATGCTCTGTTTATAATAAACAGTATTAACAACATTAACCGGCCTCAATGTCACAGAAATATTCATAGAAAATATACATCTTCCGACAGGAATTGAACCTGTATCCTATACGGAACCGTCATATAACCTGACGTGCTTTAACCTATTGGTCCACAGAGAAGTGTTTCGGTAAGCAGGGTTGATTTTACTGTTTTTATACACAATGCTCTATGATTTTATCTTATTCATTCATATCTGTTCAATGCGTATCTAAATGTAAACAAATGATGTCACACATAAGTCCGACAATTATATTTTAAGATATTTTTTATGTTTATCTATCTATCTATATATATATAATCGTAAGATTGCGTCAAATATGAAACAGCCTGTCGCCTCTAAACGTTGACTTCAATGTTCACTTTTATATTTACACACGATCTATCCCTGATATTGAGCACTTTATCCCATAAATATAGCAGATCTTAAGAGTATATTTCTTTATATATACATATATATATTTATGTGTGTGTTTGTATCTATGTGCGTATATATATGTATATATATATATATGTATGTGTGTGTATATATATATGTGTATTTGTGTGTGTATATATATATATATATATATATATATATATATATATATGTATGTATGTATGTATGTACGTGTATATGTACAAATTTGTCGACCATAAACAGTTCACAAACTATAATCAAATCACTAATGTTCTTGATCGATCCAAGAAACTTTCAACAATGCCTCCAGCGTGTATATATATATATATATATATATATATATATATATATGATATATATATGTGTCTGTGAAATCTTCTGTAATTTTGTTTTTCTTTTTAATCTGTCTTTTACGTATTCGCTGGCAATTCTTGCTTCAAATTTTAATAACCTATATTCAGACGGAGTTAGAAATAAACAAACAACATAAATGCATTCATCCATGCAGAGAAAGTCAGGGGTTCGAAGTTGTGAGTGAATCACCCTTCGTTTTTCTGCAAGTTCGCGCGATTACCTTCTGCCATTTAAGCAATCTCACCCTGAAAATTTCCCGCCAAAGGCGATGTCTGCAGTTCGGTGTTTTTTTAATTATCTCCGTCTTCCGAAATTAATCCAGCAGCAAACCGCATCAACAGGCTTGTTCGCTTTTACGTTCCAATCTACTTTTTTATGTTTCTATAGATAGATAGATAGATAGATAGATAGATAGATAGATAGATAGATAGATAGATGTGAAAACACTTAGATAAGTAGATAGATGTGAGAAGACATAGATAGATAGATAGATAGATAGATGTATGAAGAATTAGATAGATAGATAGATAGATAGATAGATGATAGATGATGAAAAACACTTAGATAAGTAGATAGATGTGAGAAGATAGATAGATAGATAGATAGATAGATAGATAGATAGATAGATGTATGAAGAATTAGATAGATAGATAGATAGATAGATAGATAGATAGATAGATATAGATGAAAAACACTTAGATAAGTAGATAGATAGATGGACATAGATAGATAGATAGATAGATAGATGTATGAAGAATTAGATAGATAGATAGATAGATAGATAGATAGATAGATAGATAGATGTGAAAACACTTAGATAAGTAGATAGATGTGAGAAGACATAGATAGATAGATAGATAGATAGATAGATAGATAGATGTATGAAGAATTAGATAGATAGATAGATAGATAGATAGATAGATGTATGAAGAATTAGATAGATAGATAGATAGATAGATAGATAGATAGATGTGAAAAGACTTAGATAAGTAGATAGATGTGAGAAGACATAGATAGATAGATAGATAGATAGATGTATGAAGAATTAGATAGATAGATAGATGTGAAAAGACTTAGATAAGTAGATAGATGTGAGAAGACATAGATAGATAGATAGATAGATAGATAGATAGATGTATGAAGAATTAGATAGATAGATAGATAGATAGATAGATAGATAGATAGATGTGAAAAGACTTAGATAAGTAGATAGATGTGAGACATATAGATAGATAGATAGATAGATAGATAGATGTATGAAGAATTTAGATAGATAGATAGATAGATAGATAGATAGATAGATAGATAGATGTGAAAAGACTTAGATAAGTAGATAGATGTGAGAAGACATAGATAGATAGATAGATAGATAGATGTATGAAGAATTAGATAGATAGATAGATAGATGTGAAAAGACTTAGATAAGTAGATAGATGTGAGAAGACATAGATAGATAGATAGATAGATAGATAGATAGATAGATAGATAGATGTATGAAGAATTAGATAGATAGATAGATAGATAGATAGATGTGAAAAGACTTAGATAAGTAGATAGATGTGAGAAGACATAGATAGATAGATAGATAGATAGATAGATAGATAGATAGATGTATGAAGAATTAGATAGATAGATAGATAGATAGATAGATGTGAAAAGACTTAGATAAGTAGATAGATGTGAGAAGACATAGATAGATAGATGGATAGATGGATGGATAGATAGATGTAATGAAGAATTAGATAGATAGATAGATAGATAGATAGATGTGAAAAGACTTAGATAAGTAGATGGATGTGAGAAGACATAGATAGATAGATAGATAGATAGATAGATAGATAGATAGATAGATATGAGAAGACAAAGATAGAATAGAAATTACTAAGAAATATATACATAGATAATTTTTTACAGACAGGATCGGATATTTACAGCATTATATAGATATATAAATCGATAGATCCGAGAAGACTGAGATAGATAGATAGATAGATAGATAGATAGATAGATAGATAGATAGATAGATAGATAGATAGATAGATGCAAATAGACTTAGATAAGTAGATAAATGTAAGACGACTTAGATAGATAGATAGATAGATAGATAGATAGATAGATAGATAGATAGATACATACATACATACATACATACATATGAGAAGACAAAGATAGAATAGAAATTACTAAGAAATATATATATAGATCATTTTTTACAGACAGGATCGGATATTTACAGCATTATATAGATATATAAATCGATAGATCCGAGAAGACTGAGATAGATAGATAGATAGATAGATAGATAGATAGATAGATAGATAGATAGATAGATAGATATGGACATATTCAGATAGATATATATGGGACCCAAACAGGTGGTACCACTCCGGGTAAGCTTGAACCTGGAAATAACAGTAATTTCCTGGTGGTTCCTCGCTCCTCAAAACCTTCCGAGAAACAAGGCTTTGCTGCCGGCTGTAGTTTATCGTCATACCCAAGACAATTTTTATATGTGAAGAGATTGTCCAGCATTCACTGACATATAAGTGTATTAAGACAACTGTTTAGTTCAGTACTCTTTTATTGATCATATTGTTTAATTGTTGTATTCTATTAATGCAGAAACTACTCTTCTTATTAGACAATTTATCTATTATTTTTTCTATTGGACTGGTTAGCAAAACATCGGCGAATTGCCAACATTATAAAATGGTAAGTAACAAGGATTCCATTATAGCTTGTTTACATATTTTAATAAATTAAGAAATGTATATGAATAAAAAAAATTGTTTTCATATTTATTACTTTATAAACTGGTAAAGGATAAATATGGCATTGCATTATTCTAATTGTATTAATTTTTAAAATATAAAATTCTTCTAAATAACCAGGCTCATATATAGTGTTTAATATTTTAGTTGTAAATTCTAAAGGACAAAAAATGCCATAGATATGACCTTGAACAATGCATGGGCATCAACTATCTATCTATATATTAAATTCTTTGACTGCCGTTAGTCTGTGCGTCTGTCACACCCTCTAAAATAGCCATATATTGACCGCTCGAAACTAAATTTGGGGGAGATGCAAACAGGTAAGTACTGTTGCTTTTCCTAGGGTGCATAGCTTAGTAAAATAAATTTTCATTATTTTTAGGGCGAAAAATAAAGGCTTTATTATTTAGCATCCAAAATACTCTTCCTATTTCAAAAACAATTTAATGATTAAAATAACAAATAATTATTTAATAAAAATGCCATATTGTATTTTTCATCTTTTCTTTAAATTTTATATATACAAGAATCTAGTTTCCAGTTGGCCCTATGTTCGCGAGAACTATAAACACATCACAAGGCCAAACTCTTCAAAAGTCTTGGATTTGGTTCCAGAAGTAAATATTTATGCATGGTCAGTTGTATTTTGCATGCTCAAGAGTAAGAAAAGAATTTATTCTTCCCCATTAAAAAGGAAAAAAAAGTTTTCTTAAAAATATTGTTTACCATGAATTTTTATAAAATTAAATTAAACTAATTATTAAACTGTGAAGTAAGGACTCTGTCAAAGTGTTTTTCACAAAATTTCAGCTTATTCAAAATACATCGATTGGTCTGCGAAATTGAACGAAACGTAAAGTTTGTAAATCTTTACAAAAAAATTGATAGCGAGAATTTCAAGAAGACTAAATACTGTGTGAATTTAAACACGCGTCAGCGAGTTTCAAATATTATAATACATATCTATATATATTATAATATTTATATATATATATATATATATATATATATATATATATATATATATATTATATTGATACTGGGATCAACATCAACAGGTAGTGGTGAAAGTCTGTTTCATGCTTTAATGCAATATTCACATCTAAAGATTGTGTTTAAGCATCGAACAGACTGTCGTTATTCAGGGTGATCTTCAGTTTCCACTCATAGTTACATACGCTCAATCCTTGATATTGACCAATTTTGCCCATAAAGCATACCTTAATATTATATATTGGAGCATATAGTGCGTATTTGCATGTATATAAAAAAATTCATAAAGGGTATATTTGTAAAATGACAATACGTATAAAACAAAAAGAAGTTTTATCTTAACCGACGCATTTCGTCCTCTGAGGATTTTATCGAAGCATTTGCCTTGATATAATCCCTCAGAAGGACGAAACGCCTCGGTTAAGATACGTTTTCCTTTTATTTTTATTCGTAAGAATTTCTGGGATGAAAATTTATTAGTATTGATATTATTGGCAAATGGCTAATGTCCCCTTCTTTTTTTATTTCATCATCAAAACCATTCGAGAGTCCGATCTCCAGACTCCTTCAGTAATGTGTTGATACGAGTAACTTCCACCTAATTTCGCATTGAAATCTGTATTTAATTTACTGAGAAAGATTGTTCACATTCGTCTTTCGATGTTGAAGGATACATCTTGCCTTTTTTTTTTCGTGTCGGGTCAACAGAAAACTAAATGTCTAAGCCATAACCTAATGATTTAGGCCAGAAGATACTGTTGTTTCTTAAATTAGGATGCAAAGTATTCCTTAGTTTAATCCACTGGACGAATAACACAGTCTCAGAATATATGTAAATAATATTAGCAATAACTCAGCAGTACTAAGCAAAAAAAAAAAAAAAAAAAAAGGCGAGATATAATATCCGGAAATATGAACGTCGGAACGGAAAAATCTACCCTTTATTGAGTGTGTCCGTTCTGTGACAAGCATCTGCTTTTCACGGCACATCAGAATGTTGGGAATGTCGCCGAAGATCTCTCAGTTGAGGGTGATTTGAAGAACGATATCCCCGGTTCCAATTCCAGATTTGCTTATGACCGCGGATACCTCGTTTACTTCACCATATTTGGCGAAATAGGTCCCCATGAGGTCCTCACTTATGTCCGACGGCACACCGTGTACCTGTTACTGTTTTTTGTGTATATACTGTGTAACTAGTGAGCGAGTCAAAATGACTTAATTCCCTTTATAGGCGACCAATAGAAGGTTGACCAATCAGAAGCCGCTGAACATTGTATCCCTCGTGTATAAAGGCGGCCATCTTTGTTTTCCCTAGCGGAATGACCAGAGGCAACTTGTCCTGCGAACAGGACAGGCGGAAGAACTACGCCCTCCTACCTTGCTGCGATATCCACTGCGAACCTGCACTACGCTTTCCTACTGTCTGCGAAATATTCACTGCCAACCTCTGGATTCTATACTCGAAGACGACCGTCATGAAAATGTCTAACAGTACCGTCACCCGAGTTTTACGTGTCCCCATGTAGTCTGTTTGCATTCTCACTGTTTTCTTTTGAGAATGCTTCCAGACAACTTTTTGGCCTCCTCCTCATTCGCTAGAAGGATGTCCCACAAAGCGTTGGACCTTCTAGCCAAAACCCGTGGGGCAACGTTCAGTGGCTTTTACGCTTCCACCATGGTTTCCCTACTGACCCCAATTAAGTTACGGCTTTTCACGGCCGAGGTCAGTAGGGAGATTTTCGTGACGTCACGGCCTTTAGCGCCTCCGAGATGGTTATGAAATCGTTTCTTTTAACGAACTCTTCATATTTAATTTTTAAATTGGCCTAATACACTGCGTCCTTTCTAATCCTTTTGTCTGCTTGCTATAGTGATTCGGATATTTCACCAGATTCCGGCGGTGATTCGTCAGCGTCACTAATATTACAAACTATTTTCTTCTTTTAATTTCTGCTTTTAGTTATAATTTCCTTGGCTCAAATGCATATAAACAATCTACAAACGTTAGGAATAATGCATCTTGAACTTTACTTCTGTCGTTGTTATGACTGGTATTTATTCATGCAAAAAGTACAAATTGTGGCACGAGGCCAATAAAGAGAAGGGGTAGAGGCTGGTCAACACTAACTATCTTATACCTAGCTAATCAGATTCGCGACCCATTCGTACATTACATTTTACCCATTCACCAAAAGAACTCGTCCATCACCAAACAATCCTTCAACCACCATAATACCACGTGCTCTCAAGGGAGACCTACCAAAATCGCGCCCCATGCCATAAAAATTTTAATGATGATATATATATACAATTCTAATAATGATAAAATGAGAGGGGAGGGAAATGAACCCAATAATAAACTTAAAATAAACACAAATACAAACTAAACATAATTGATGTTAGTAGGGACCGTCCAACCCATAAAACAGAGAGACCGCTGTATTCTGCCCAGGGGACAAAATCAAGAGACGCTCTCGCTAAGGGAGTGGGAAAAAGTATAAAATATTAGGCTGGAATGGGAAAATATAAAATTGACCCAGTCGAGATGAAAGGGGGGTCAAAACAAACTGGGGAGGTTGGGAATCTCGACTTGGATCATAACCAAAGAACGGCCGGGATGCAGGCCAGGAACAACACTTACTCACATTAACTAGGTACACTGAAGCTTGTCTAACCTAACCAAGGGGAGGGTTCCACAGGAAGCCACCCCGATGTGCAATAGGTTGACCTAGAAGAGAAAATCAAGGCTAGCCCCGTTCACACGAAGCAAGCTCACTTCTTTTACCCACCTTTCGCTAAAGACTGTCGAATGCAATCGTTTTCTATCCGATCTAATCTTCATCTTGAGCTGATGCTCAAAGAATCTGTCTTTTGTTATGACTAGGCAAAACTATATTTTATGTTTGCCTGTTATGATGACGTAATGCTATGATGACGTAATGCTATGATGACGTAATGTCATGTTTACATAATACACAATACATGCGAGTGAAAGTCTGTTAAATGCATTTAAAAGGCCATTTCAAAAGCTGGAGATGTTATTTAATTTAGGAAGTGGGTTTTAAAAGGAATTTAAAAATAGATATCGATACATTAACAAAGTGAAGAATTTATCTTGTTACGTAAGCATGTTATCGGAATGGCAAAAAATAATTGACTATAGCTTGCATCCGACATTCACACACACACACACACATACACACACATACACGCACACACACATGTATATATGGAGCCAAATAAAAAACTCAAAGGAAAAATATTGTGGATTCCGAGATGAAATACGGTCTCCAATGAATGACAAACGCAAGAATTAAATATAAGAAATAAAATGTAATTACATAATAATACAAAGGGTAATACTTTTA